AAAAAATAAAATACAATAACATGGTCCAGATAACAATATTTTAAAAATCCATCTCCAAAACTAAATTTTGACCCCAGCAACAAGCCCTAAACAAGCCCTCCTTCCTGATGGCCTCTAGGAATCCTGAGCAGCAGAAGCAGCACCTGTAGCTGATGTTATCAGGTTCCTACTCCCAGGCCAGGTGGAAATAGACTGGACAAAGCCAAGAGAGGGTCTTGCAGGACTCGCAGCAAAATGGATATTGCTACAACAGAACAAGCTCCACCAATATGTTTGAACCATTGCCCAGATGGGCCAGCTGCTATAGGTGAAAGAGGCAGTTGAGATTTACCGTTTTAATTTAATCCTTTCCCTGGCATCCCTTCCAGGACTGGCAGCAGTGTCCAGACTATTTCTTTGCAATGTGAATCTGGGCTGACCACTGCAAATGACTACATAATGGAGCTGCAAACCACTTCCCAGCCATTATAGGCATATGTGTTCTGGTCATAGCCATATTGGGCTGAAATGAAATGTTCTTCTCCTCTTGCAAAGGAGTTTGTTTCCCACTCCAAAGGAGCATGACATAACTTGTGGAGCAGAAAGAAGAGGAAAAGAGAGAGCAGTAACGTATTCTCTTAGTCCAGCTCCGGTCCGTGCTGAGAAAATCAAAGCTGGCAAGAATTTGGCAACAGACAAATTTCTTTTGTTGAAATGTTGTCAGGCAGCCAGAGAGCATCACTTAGCTGACAAATTAGGAATGGAATATTGACAACCAAGTAAATGAAATGGCTGTGCACCTTAACCTTAGATTCTTCAATGCCTCTATTTAGTGACCACAATGGGCTAGAAATGGATGCTGCCCTGCTTTGTGCAGAAAGGAAAGGGAAAGCAATGACTTCATTATGAGAGCTACTCCTGAGACTTCAAGAGGGGCTGAAATAGCCAGTCTAATGATTCATGGGAACTTCTGGCTCAGATGCAGCAGCTTCTTGGCATATCGGCTGTGTTCTTATTGCACCTGCATGTTCAAATGAAGTCTCCAAGGGAAGCTGGGCCTTAAAAACATATGAGATTTATCTTTACCTCTCAGGTAGGTGCATCGGGCATTATTCATTTTACATTCTTTAGGGCAATTTCATACCATTAGAGCCAGTCGGGCAAATATATCACAATACACCTATGGGGCATTTCTTTATTAGGAGCATATTTCTCAGGAGCGGGTTTTGTAATTTACTAGAGATGCAAGCACAGAAAGGATACTAAAGCACAGATGGAAGCAGGCCTGGTGCTGTCATAGAAAGCGATAATAAAGAATGTATTTCAAACACACAGGGAGCGGCATCCTTCCTCCTACATACAATGGTGACATCCAGGACTTTTGGTGGGAAGAGTGTTTAACTTACACCCTCTTTTCAGATAACCGTGTGGCGCTCTTCATGAACCAAAACAATCATGTGGTGCTCTATGAAAGAAGGGAAAGACCTTTGGTAGCATTGTGAATGGGTTCTGCTGCCGCCTGAAATGCAAAGGAGGGACAGATGGTGATAATGTAGCCGATTGCAATGGGTCTGGTGGAATAATAAACAGACTTGCCAAGCCATTCTTCAGAAGAAAGGGTTATGTGCTTTATTGAAATGAATCGAAAAGTAGATTTCTATTCCTTGGCAGGAATAGTTGTAGTCATAAACAAGGCTGTTGTGCTGGCTTTATGGGGTTCAGCCATGTAGCAGCCTTCCACAGTAGTTCTCTTTACAGCTATTAGTGCTATAAATACTGGCAAGGTGACTTAACAATAACATCTTCAGATTCCTGGTACGGCATCCAAGCATGTAATGATTTTTCCTGAAACACAGCAACAACCTACACTCTATCTCTAGACCAGGACCACAGCCAGCCAGCCTCACTAAGGTGAAACTGCCATAGTTCTTGTTATTTTCCCCAACAATAAAAAAAAACAAAAAACTTACATAACCTTCACTCCAAGGCCAAGTGCCCATACTCATTAAAGTGCCTTGCATTTTTAGGGCCATGGGCAGAAGCTTTCTTATAATGAACACTTGCTTTGAATAAATAACGCCCTTTACGCTGCAAGTCTAAGACATGGCAGGGAGGAAGACAACAACAACAACAACAAACTTAAGGTATGGGGATTTAACTGCCTTATCCAATGTCTTGAGTGCCAGCGTGGTGTAGTGGTTAAGAGCAGTAGTCTCATAATCTGGTGAACTGGGTTCGCGTCCCCGCTCCTCCACATGCAGCTGCTGGGTGACCTTGGGCTAGTCACACTTCTCTCTGAAGTCTCTCAGCCTCACTCACCTCACAGTGTTTGTTTTGGGGGAGGAAGGGAAAGGAGAAGGTTAGCCGCTTTGAGACTCCTTAGGGTAGTGATAAAGCGGGATATCAAATCCAAACTCTTCTTCTCTTGCGTTGAAAAAAATGGAAGGGAAATTCATGGAACAGATTTAACCCAGCTTCTGAGCCAGTTTCAACTTTCCTCTAGTTTAGAGGCATTTCTTATCCATTGTATAGGAACATATGAGGAGCTTACTGGATCAGGCCAGCGGCCCATCTTTTGCAACATCATGTTCTCACAGTGACCAGCCTAATGCCCATGGGAAGCCTCATAAGCACAATAGCACTCTGCCCACCTGTGATTGCCAGCAGCTGGCATTCAGAGGCTTAGAGGTGCAGCATGGCACCGTATCATGTGGAAGCAGATCACATATCTGTTTTCAGACTGAGTGCCACTATGCGGTTAAAATGGCCTTATCCCCCCACACATGGAAGTTATCTGTGGACTTGTGGGAACTGGAAGGCCTGAAGAACTACAAAAAAACCAACAACCTTTTGGGGGGGGACCCTCTAAGGCAGAGTTGGCTAACATGTGGCCCTCCACAACCCATCCCCCTTAGTCAACAGGACCAATGGTCAGGGATGGTGACAGAGATTAGCCCCCCCTCCTGCCGTTGGACGTCAGAGCACTGTCACCTTGCAGGAGGGCAGAAACTGATGACACACACACACAGAGAAAAGTTGAAGTTCTTGCTATTAAAAAGTGAATGTCACGAACGGAGAACTGCATTGCAAAATTCTGTGAAGTGGGAATTAGAAAGGATGGCTGTGTTCCACTTCTCATATTGTTTCATAAAGTGTGAATTATGTAGGTTCACCTTTAAATGTGAACAGAATCAAATTTCTCCCCCATCTCTAAGCAGAGGCAGAACCTGTTGATGGGCCCTTTCCCATGGATTTCCCCACCATATGCTAAGTATAATCATTTGCAGGAAAAACTGTTAAAATCCACGGGACCTACTTCCAGAGTTCTCTCCTGGCTCTAGTCTACTTTTTATTCAGTTCAGCTAATTAAGAGTATGCCTGTTAGACAAATAGGCAGAGGAATCAGAACCCAAGGAAAGAGGGTGGTTGTATTGCAGAGCCTGTGAAAATGGCCATTTTGAGGAGAAGATGTTTCATTCTGACAAGAAATATAGCATATAATGACTACATTGTATAGTGAGTGTAGACTGCAGTCTGCAAAAGCTCGTGCCACAATAAGCCTGCTAGTGTTTTAAGGTGCTACGGCAGTTGTTTTTGTTTCTGTTCCAAAGACTGACACTGCTACTCTTGTAGGAACTATACGTTATATTAGCAGTAAAAGCAGAAGTGGTGACAAACAGAAACTGACATAACAACAGGCAAGGAGACTATGCACAGAAATACCTCTAAATAAACATAGCATATGTCTTCTCACTGCCGCAAGCATTTGAATGCGTTGTGTTCCACTAACTGTTGTTTTTTTTTAAAGTCTTGATTCTCCCTGCTCCATTTGCAGCAAAGACTGTTATGCTTAGCCTGAACACACACACATGAAAACTGCAGTCAGCAATCACCATCTTTAAAATGGTAGGTCTTTTCTTTCCAAACAGGAGGAAATGCTTTTTGTTTGTATGCCACCTTTCCACAGTTCAAACCATGCTCAAGGTGGCTTACAAAGCGTGTTCTCCTTCATGGAGAGCACGTGTTGTGGTAGGGCCTAGCAAGACATCTCTGTTGCTGGGCGGGTAAGTGTAGATGGCCACGTTTGCGACTGGGCTCCTCTATGTTGTTGGGGTGATTTTAATGTTGCTGTTTCTGATTGACAGCCTAGTAGCTTTATATTCCCTGCACACAGTGTTGAACTTCCTCTTCGAATCACCCGCCCACCCTCCCTAAGTTAGGGCTTGTGCGCTTGACCTTGCTATACCTGTCATGGAGTCATCTGCTTTTGGGGCAGGGGCCTGGTAGGAATTTTGTCAATTTGGCTGATTGGCTGCTGCCATTTGGCTTTTGCCTACTGTGTAGCAAATCGTCACAACTTGTAAGATTGCAGTTAGGCATTGGTTTTATGAATTGGTTGGTGGAGGGGCATGGATTGGCTGTGCCAATGCTGCTGCTGCAAGGGTATTCTGTTAAAGGAATCCAGGGGCTCGCCATGCTTTTGTCCTAACCCCTGTCAAGGGGCTAGGGCCATGCAAGAGCCCCTGGGAGCATTTGGGGAGAGGTGAGGGCCTGGCACCCAGCTCCATTTTTCTCCCCAAAAGGTTTTCCCTTTCTGACTTTCGCAGGCTTGTGGATGTCAGTCTGTCCCTGGGCAGGGACAGATAGCCGCAACCAATGCCTAAGCAACCACTCACATTTTTTGTATTTTAATAAAGTTGTGGCCAAAATTATGCCACAAACCTTAAACAAAAAATTCTGCGTGAATTGTGTTTATTTTGGGGTGGCTTGGGGACCTGGACACACAACATGAAAAAATCCATAACTACAACATAACAAAAGTAACCATAAACAATAAATGAAAGATTAAAAATAGAGAACCAAACTGAGCAATTTCCACATAAATTGCAAGATACAAAAAAAGCCAACAGCAACAATCCTCCCCAACAACCCCTCCCTGCAACAACCTCAATCATCTAACAATGAAAATGTGTGCTTTTACCTTCAGAACTATGGTTTGGACTCATATGCAATATTATGTTGGGGGAATGCCATAGCTCAGCAGTAGAGCAATTGCTTTGTATGCAGAAGGTCCCAGGTTCCATCTCTGGTTATCTCCAGGTAGAGCCCAGGGCCTGGAGAGCCCCTGCTAGTCTGTATAGACATTACTGAGCTAGATGGACTCAGTGTAAGGCAGCTTCCTATATTCCTACGCAGATTTAATTCATTGATTTATCAGTCACTTGACTAATTAATTGGCTCAAATTTAGCAAAACTTGCCTACTTCTCAACTCAACCCTTTGAAGATTTTTTATTTTTTTATTTACTATACTTCTTTGCCTCATAATAATCAAAGTTGTCTGGGCAATTTAACTATAGAGCAGTAGCTAAAGGGGTTGGGTTTTGGTCTCATTCCCCATGCTCTTTTAAAGTTAAAAGTAAAAAAATACCACCCCGTTTTATGGCCCGACCAGAGACTATATGTTTAGTAAATGCTTGGTCTCTTCTTCACAAGGCAAGCTAGTGATTTCAGTGTTGAAATCAATGGGTTTATCAATCTGGGTTTGGCATTGCAGCTGCTTCCAGTGCATGCTATCAGACAAGCAGGCACTTTGAAAGTACTTTGCTGTCAAATTCGAAACCTTAAACCACTTTGCAGTACTGTAATGTACTTTAAAATCAGTACATCAATTTGCTTTGGAAGCAGCAAACGCCACCCGGCACAATCCTTCAAGAAAAACTATTAATGGCCATGGCATATATAACATGGTTTTCTTATTGAGAACGCCCTCAACAAGGAGCTGCAGCCAGTCATGGCTCCCTGATGTACATTCCTGTCTTTGCAATATTTGGTTGCATTCAAATTTTATATTTACAAAAACAAAAATATGTATGATGACCCTTGGGGTTCTGACTATATATAACAGATTGTTTAAAGAAATGAAATTAGTAATAAGAGATAGATTTCTTTCTTGCCCTGTGCTTAGATCCAGACAGTCAAAAGTATTAGACCCATTGAAGTGAGCTAGCTGAATAAAAGTCTAATTGATTTCCAATCTGGACTGAGCCAAATATATCTGCCTTCAAGTATAGACAATGAAAATCCATGTCATTCATCCTAAGTTGCTGCAACTTGAGTTCTGCAAGAGCTTTAATTTTGTGCTACTGAATTTAGTGCAGATGTGATTAGGCTTCCAGTATCCATTCAGTTTTTTACACCTACCTATTTAGGGAGAGGAAGATTGAAGCCCTTCCAGTATGGACCCCCAAAGGTCCCTTGAAGCATGAATTTTAATTGCCCACATCTTGGCTTATATAGCTGTAAATGTTATTAGTATCATACAATTATGTGCATCTGTCAGCTCCAGGAGCTGAAATTCAATATTCCACATCTCCAAATGCTTGTTATATTAGTCTCGAGCACACAGTCTCTCATTTCCCAAGCACTTAAAATACAAAATCGCTCAAAAAGCAGAAAACAAGTGCATTAATGTTCAACATTTTTGGTGTGTGGTATTTCCCCCCAAAGAGGTTTTATAACCTATCCTGTCTAAATGGGCTTACAACAGGTAACAATCTGAAACCAAGGCCAGTACTGCAGCAAACTAGGAAATGAATACAAAACAATACATTTAAATGGAAAGGGTTCCAGTCCACAGATATACACTTTCCTACCCAGTTATCAGTACAGGCAGTTTTGACAGCACCAATCACCTCTGTGGAATGTGAGGGTTCTGAACTGGGTCTCTTTTCACACACACAAAAATATGGCCAACACTGTCAAAGCTAAGGACTCCAGAAGGACCTAACTCAACATGGCAATTCAAGCCCATGGGCACAGCACCTTTTTATGTTTGCCTGACCAAGTCCAGAAACAGGGTGGAAGGCCACCAGCATTGCAGGATCACAAAGCATATTTAAAAGCACACATGCATCCTTCTATGTCCATTTGTCTTGAGTAATGTGATTACATCTGCTACTGTGCTTTTCATCTAAACTGCTGCTGGATGAAGGTTTGGGGTTCGACAAGCAAAGTCCTGAGTCAACCACATGTTATTTCAACTCTTGCCCCTTGTGGTTTCTAAGAGGAACTGATCAAGCGGGTTCTGGAGGTGTTAATGCCTGGGAGAGGCTGTCATCGTGTCAGCTGCCTTAAAAGAGCCAGGGCACCCCACACAGGGCCAAAGGGGAAGGGTGGAAGAGGAAATAGCTTAAATGTGGAATCTGAATTGTGGTGTAGTTCCGTAACAGCAACTCCCAAATTAATTTTCCTCTTCGAAAAGCAACTGCAGGGGATAGGGTGTTAATCATTTGCTTTGATACCTAATTCCTCAACTTAAATCCCCACCCTAACAGTTAGCACTGCCCATGGAGTGAGAATTATGGTGTTGGAGGAGACTCTTGAGAGTCCCATGGACTGCAAGAAGATCAAACCTATCCATTCTTAAGGATATCAGCCCTGAGTGCTCACTGGAAGGAGAGATCGTGAAGCTGAGGCTCCAATACTTTGGCCACCTCATAAGAAGAGAAGACTCCCTGGAAAAGACCCTGATTGGAAAGATGGAGGGCACAAGGAGAAGGGAACGACAGAGGACAAGATGGTTGGTCAGTGTTCTCGAAGCTACCAGCATGAGTTTGACCAAACTAAGGGAGGCAGTGGAAGACAGGAGTGCCTGGCGTGCTCTGGTCCATGGGGTCACGAAGAGTCGGACACGACTAAATGACTAAACAACAACATGGAGTGAGAAGGATGCAGGCATAATTTTATGTCTGTATGTTTTCCCCTCTTTGGCTAATAGCAGCTCCAGATTAGGGTGATTTGGATCAAGGCTGTTGTACACAGAGAATTGGACTCTCTACTGTCTCCAAAGCTCATATCTAAATCAGGTGTGTCACCGCCACCCATTACATTTTGAAGAAGAAAAGTGTGTTGGGAATTCAATGGCAGAATTCCAGTGAAATGCATAGGCTGGTCCACAGGGATAACTTTTAGTGAAGCACTTCGAGGTGCAAGTTTCCATGTGGTTTCTTACAGAGGAAACCAATTAAACTCTGTATTACTACCATAGGAATTTCTGGCTGACTGGAAGTAGGAGGCACCTAACAATGTGCCTTCAAACAACTTAGGTAGGAACTGACCATATTCATCGTTTAGCATTTGTATGAAATTTTTCTATGTTATCAAACATAAAACAGGTTAATTCAGCCATGCTTCTTGTCAATTCGGATGTTTAAAATATGTATTTTTACTGTTTTATTGTTTATTATCTATATGGCTTCTTGTACATCCCTTTGACATTTTTGGCTATACATTTTGTAAATAAATTTTAAGCTATTAGCCACTAGATTTCTGCTGTTTCCAAATATCCTCCCAAGGCTCTGAGTAAAAATAAAAAATAAATGATAGAAAGACATTACAAATAAAATATCAAAACCTGTGATAAAGGTAAATGAAATTTAGAACACATTAAAATACAATAAATATTAAAACATAAAACTTCAGAAACAGCTGAAAGAAGCTGCTATTTAATCATAGAAAATGCATTCTTCTTTGCTGGTAAAGGAAATATCTACCTATTAAAATATCAAGATCAAAGTATTAATATTAACCTTGGTCCTGTTTTGCTTGTTATGAATATTACCAATATCAGAAGTGTGAAGCCCTGTGCCTGCAATCTGGATGCAGCACTCAGCTTTGCTCATTGCAGCTCTTAATGCCCCTTAGCATCCTCCATACCTTGCATTTGATCAAGCAGTGCTGCCATCATGAGAATTAGCAGAAAATACACCATCTGCCACTTATGGGCATGCAGACTTGCAGATCTCAAATGAATGAGATGGATGAATGGGGTGTAGGTTTGTGTGAATGGATGGGTGGTGTGTGAGAGAGAGGGGGGAGGGGGAGAGAGAAGGGTTGTTTCTGCCCATTTTGGCACCACACACATTTGGCTTTGGCTCCTCTCATTGCCAATCACTTACTCTTGAGAGAATGTCACCATTGAAAAAACTTGTCCACCTTTGAACTGAATGATCAAAACTGATCATTTTTCTGGTATGCTTCTTCTCATTCATTCCCATGAGACATTTAAGGAAGAATTTTGGAGCAGGGAGGATATTTCAGTTGTAGAATCTATTTAATCCTCCTCATAAAACCCATGGAATCTCCTTGACTGTATTTCAAAAGAAGAGCCATGCTAGATCGGGTCAAATTAGGCCTACTCTATTATGCTGCTTTCCACAGTGTCCAATCCGGTGGGATATTCATAAACAAGGCTTGAGGTCACTAGCTTTCTCCTGCTTCTCACAGCAAGTGAAATACAGCTTCTAATTCTGGAAGAAGCAATATGGCTACCATGACTAGTAGCCTTTCATAAACCTATCCTCCATTAACTTGCCTTATGATCCCTTTTGAAAAAAGTCGTTTACTATAATAGCCATCACCCTGTGTTTGGGTAGCATTCACCATAAATTAATGATGTTTTGTTTTGTTTGGGTATGTCGTAAATCTCCTAACAACGAATAGGCCTTCCAGTGAAACTAATTGTGTGGGAGAAAACCATATCTCAATCCACATTCCCATGCCATACATCATTTTATAAACCGTTATCATTTATCCCCTTAGCCATTATTTTCCCAAATCAAAAAAAAAAAAAGTCCCATACCCTTCACTGTGTCCATTTGCTGTGGTTATGTAAAGTTCTCTCTTCTGCACTCCTAATAATCGACAACAGATCCTCCTTGCAGTTATACTTGAAAACTCATTAAGATAAATTTAGTCTGAATTCTGTTTCAGAGGACTGATTAGTTTGCTCACCCAGTCATGCACTGAAGTCTCCTGCAAGAAGCAGTGTTGCCATAGGGTAAGTACCTAGGAGCATTTCAACAGCATTTGTTAATTGGTCCCACAGCTGCATATGATTAAAAGGTGATGTAACATGCGATTGTGTGTATGTTTGTGTTGGTGGTGATGGGAGGGATATAAAGGTTCTTTAGGCTAATGAATCTGTTGCTAATACAAACTCTTTATTTCCTCAGTTGCTAGCCCAAATAGAAATGTTTTCCTGCTGCTTGAGACCATAGCCTGGTTTGGATGATCATTTGAAGCTACGTTAACCTTTAA